TAAATACAGATTCTGATCTCTACATTTTCTTTCCATTCCTGTTGTGTCAGCACATCCCATAAGCACTAGAGGGCGCAATTCTCTCGGAAAACAAAGAAATACTGAGACGGTACAGAGAAAGTCCCGTAAGCTGTACAAAACATTTGACCCCTGGCACGTCACCTTACCACTGGTGTCGGGGAGCAAAGCTAACGGCCGTCAGTCACGTGGTATTCTAGTCATTTTAAGCTCAGGTAAGCGCCTGAGTACACGGGTGAACTATAACCAAGCCCCTGTTATCTTTTTTCATTACTAAAAATGTGCTTTTCTCCGACAAGAACACCGACAGTGGTTTTGTGAGCAGTGGTGGGGATCATTCGTGTTTTGTTGTCAACAGATTATTACGTGTGGGACACACTCCAAAGCAAGCCTGCAGGGGGCGCCAGCTTGTGTCCAGCGGGGGAGGTTCACATCGTACGGTGCCGTCGGCATGGGTTAGGTGCTTTCGAGTCCTGTTGTTCAAGGACATCCCATGCAATTTGTCGCAGGCAGGCATTTATTTTACACCTTAATCACTTTTTTCTAGTAACAGCTTTAAAATTGTCCAAAAGTCGGCTTTTCAGTTTTAGTGTTAATTTCTGTACGCTGAGTATTGGCCTGTGTACGGAGTATTGGCCTGTGTACGGCCGAGTATTGGCCTGTGTAGTCACTGGGGTGTAAGGAGAATAGCCTAAAAGCTAACAGTGAGCTCACAAATCTATCGCATAAGAAGAAAAACATAGTCTGAAAAACTGTGCATGCAAAATGTTTGACTTTTTTTTTCCATAGTACTTTTCTCAGAAATTCCCTTAAAACAAATACACAGTTTGGTCACGTCCTGTTCTTTTTGTTTTTCTGTCCTCTGTTGACCAGCTTATGTAAAAGCATGGGCCACTTAAGGTAAGTTTCTGTTCCGAGGGAACAACACATGGACTATAAAGAGTGTAATCGGCAGGTTCTGTACTGCCACACATTTATCTAATTCATTTAATTGCATTCTGCTCTCTATTCACGACTGCTATTAACATCCCTTGGCTACGACTGCTGCTAATTAAATGTTTTATGAGAATTCAATCTGTAGTTATTACATAAGCGTGTTCAAGGCAATGACTCTAAAACACGCTGATATCCGACAAACTTTTAGAACATCATACATAATATAGGCCTATTGGAAACTGTGCCAAACTAACCACCAGCAACGAACTACACAGGCGAAATATCCGTAACAAATAGTTTTCTCATTGTCATTCTATTTTTAATATTTGGGATTTTATGTGGCATACATATACTACTGCCTATACTATATAGACACAAGAATTGCTGTAAATCGGTGCAAATGCATTTAAGCTGACATAATGGCATATTTAATTGCCCTGAGGATGAGCACTGATCTCCTCTGTGCCCCCTCGGCGTTACATAAGAGGGGAGTCGCTGTGGCATCGATTCCCATTAAGAAAACTTTACTGAGCAAATAGTTTCCTTTCGGCTGCATTACAAAAGCTTTTCTTATAGGTGGGAACGTAAAGGCGCAGTAAGATCCGGCTCGGCTCGCTCACATTAACAGTAGCTGGTCATGTATCCATCCATACTGTGTTCCGCGTTACAGAGAGATCTGCCGGCTTTCCACGTTTCTGCGCTTAAGTCTCCGGCTGCGCACCGCGGGGACATTAAGACTCATCTGCGCTGTTATCCCGCCTGTTTAGACCAGAAACGGAACCGAAACCAGAAACGTTATCTGCTTACAACAGCGGTGGGAGCGTCTTGTATTTCGGCGTCCTCCACAATAGGTGAGCTGAAAATGCTTGCATATAGTTTATTTAGGCTAGATGTTGCTGCACTTTTCATATTATTTTCTACATGTGTCTACATTAAACGTTTGTAGCGATGTAATACTATATGTGTTTCTGGTCATGCTGTAACTATATTTCTGGTACTTGAAAGAAGCGGTTTTTTATCTGTCAAAGTTGGACCTATAGCTTTACGCACTGCATTATGTGATACGTGTGTTTTAAACGTGTGTTACTAGTCAAAAGCTGATATTTTTAAAACGGTTTTGCTATGAACTGGTTGTGACAGGCAGTTTTCCCGTCTGATATGAAAAACCCTTTGCAAATCTGGGGCATACATATCGCACCTGATTCCCTTCCATTCTGAATGTGGTATTATGGCACGGTGGTTTAGCAAACTAAGTTAGTTCATGTCTTTCTTGTTTATTTTCAATATTTCTCTTTTGCAGTCTCAGTATTGGCAAAGATGGTATTGGTCTTTGTGGGGTGAGACAAATTCTTGGGGGAATCTGTTAAAAGAGCAGGAATGTCTCAGAAATCCAGGAAGTATTGGTGATCCACTATGGACAGAGGTTATATTACTCTATCAGGATAGAGCTGCGGATGTTTTCCATTGGATTTACTTACGCTGGACATACCTGGGTGTGTGATCCTACTTAACGCGTGTCTCTGCTCCTCAGTGTGCTCCATGGGCAGGGTCACCAGCAGGCTATATTCACCCCTGGCCCCCACCCTGAGCAGATCACCCCTGGCCCCCACCCTGAGATCATCACCCCTGGCCCCCACCCTGAGATCATCACCCCTGGCCCAGCCACTTTCCTGCCCAGAGCAGCCCGGCACAGAACCCAGAATCCCAGAGGAGCTTCTGAAGGAATGCAGGGAGGTTCTGTGCAAGCGGCCTCCTCGGCTTAAGCGAGCCTTCCTCCTCCTGGCCAAGAACTCCCGCCGGCACCAGCCCTTCCGGGTCATGCAGTGGAACATCCTCGCTCAAGGTAGAACTTGGGCCACATGGAATGGCTGGGTCTATTTTGTCATTCGTTTTAGCACAGCGAATGGCACATACAGTACTGTCGCAAGTGAAAATACACGCTAACTCAATTAGCGGCCCTCAATTAGCGGCCTCTGGCCCTGGAGGGTCAGTCTGCAACACAGCGTCCAGGTTTACCTGTTCAGACACACCTACTAAACCTGGTAATTAGCTGATTAAGATGTTCAAGCAGGGGAATCTGCAAACTGAGTTGGATTCTGGCCCTGCAGAACCGGAACGGGGGGGATCCTGCTCTAGCTAAATATCTTCAGTGTTAATCTTTGTTTATCTAAACTGAGCCCTGCTCAGCTGTCATACTAGACCGTAGGAAAATGATTTACCAAAGTTTGCATACTGCTTGTAGATTAAATAAAATTTTACTGATGACGTCATTCTATTGGCATCTCGATTCTTATACTCGCGACTGATTTGGTTGATCTAACAAGGTTTTCCAGTTATGGCCATCCGCTGGTGCTGATTTCACGATTTTCATCATGGCTTTTCTTCTCACCTGGCAGCTCTGGGTGAAGGTACCGACAGCTTCATCCAGTGCCCTCTGGATGCCCTGAACTGGGCGGAGCGCAAGTACCTCATCCTGGAGGAGATTCTCACTTACCGCCCGGACATCGTGTGTCTGCAGGAAGTGGACCACTACTTTGATACGTTCAGGCCCATTTTCTGCAGCCTGGGCTACCACGGCACGTTTCAGCCGAAACCGCGGTCGCCGTGTCTGCAGGTCGAGGGTAACAACGGGCCAGACGGCTGCGCCCTGTTCTTCCGGAAAGAGCGTTTCCAGCTCGTAGATGCCTTCAGTCTCCGGCTGGTGGCCATGAGGGTGAAGACTAACCAAGTGGCCATCGTGCAGAAGCTGCGGTGCAGAGATTCGGGGCAGCTTCTCTGCGTGGCCGTGACGCACCTGAAGGCGCGCAGTGGCTGCGAGCGACTGCGCAGCGCCCAGGGCTCCCACCTGCTGCATCACCTGCGCAGGTTCACCCAGGGAACACGCATCCCGCTGCTGGTCTGCGGCGACTTCAACACGGAGCACGGGGAGGACGTGTACCGCCGCTTCTCCTCATCCAGCCTCAGCCTGGCCAGCGCCTGCAGGCTCTTGAGCGCGGACGGACAAGCGGAGCCCCCCTACACCACCTGGAAGATCCGGTCCTCCGGAGAGAGCTGCCACACACTGGACGTCTGGTACTGACGGCAGACCCTCGCAGTGGACTCTGTGCTGGATTTCCCCACGGGGGAGAAGATCGGACCCGACCGCTTGCCTTCCTACAGCTATCCGTCGGACCACCTCTCTCTCTTCTGCGATTTAAGCTTCCAGGAAAAACCCGTCAGGCTGTTATAGCATTTAATAATTAGTAATGATGATTATATTTTTTTTATAATTGTATAACCAATGACTTATTCAGTTTTTAAGCAGTCACCCATTCATCCATTAGGATTAGGGGCAGAAGATCCAAGAGGATGTGAAAATTCACAAATAATACTTGGACCTAATGACGCAACAAGTTTAAAAAGGTTAAAATAAGTAATTAAGTTACTGCGAGAAATGCAGGATTCATTGGTTACAAAGTCACCTTAAGAAGGCTGATTGCCAAGACAAAGACACACAACATACCCAAGCCAAGATGTGATGCAACTTTTTTTTTTTTTTACCAAAAATAATGTTTAATATTAAAGGTGGTGTGAGTAGATACTATAGAGCCAACACATATTAAATAATGCTAAAATACTCCAAAAAATATTGCCATTTAATTGTTCATGGCCAACTCGAAAATAGCTAAAACCAATCGAATACTTGATTGCTAACATCCAAAGATATGTAGCTATAAGTAATGTGAAGCCAGCCAATTCAAGATCCCATAACTATCCCACTGCAGCATGTCTGTGTGGAATAGTTCATTCTGACCAGTGTTGATGATTTACAGAATAACACAATGCTTTCCTCTTCTGCATATTTAAATGGACACAGTGTAATGGTGTAATGGGTATTTTGAACTTGTTCAGCTCTCAGCAATCAGGTGTTTGAGTGTCATTAACCCCCCCCCCGCTCACCCCTCAGGACAGAGCTTCCACTGCTATACGTGCCTGTGTCCCAGCAAAGAGCTGTTAATGGTCCGCAAGTTGTTTTTTTTTGCGCATTAATTCATTTTCAAAAGATATTAATCCAGCACTCAAAACAGGGGTTTATATATCATTTTTTGGTAAAATCAAGTTGAATACACTTTGAAACAAGAGTACAACAAAAAAAAAAAAAGTACTTCAAAATGTTGAATATACAAACTAGTTACAACCGTTTTCATTTTTGAGAAACAAAGCACAAGCTGCGAGAGTTCAGGCTGCAGGTGAGCGTGATTTAAACGGTCAGAAGTATAAGAAGAGAATGTCCAAAGCGACAGAGACCACAGGAAGGCGGGTATATCTCAGCAAGGTCAGCCAGAGCTCCCAGCAGAGCCTGTTACTGGGTCCGAGGCGTCGTTCATTTCGCAGTAATACTGTGCTCTGTACAAGGTAACGAAAAGCTTTACACAAAAAGCTAAACAGCCTATTTCTTGGAGAGAAAAAAAAGTCTAAGGCTGCTTGTTTGAAAAGTCAAACAGTTTAGCTGGTTTATACAAAAATCCCTTTTGTTTCTTATTCTGTTAAGAAACCACAGGTGTTATTTTCAATCATCATAAACAGCCCCACCCCCAGCTAGCACCACCAGGACAGACCACCTACACACAGTGATAGTCGGACAATTTGCTGGTCTGCATTTGAAAAGTCTAAATCATAAGTGTTCAAGCAGGATCGGATCTCCTCCCTGATGGATTTAGTGTTTCCCTTATAGTGTCTAGATGAAATAGCGATTCGTTGGTCCCCATTTGCAAATCGAATGATAAAGGCGAAGGCGGCTTCGGGACCGGAACGTGGCCTTCCGTCCGTCCTGCAGCTGTCTATTGTTATAGTCGCTGTGACTAATTCGACAGGTAGGGGGCGCCCTGTGCCACTCCACCCAGCACGTTACTGTCCGCTAGGCCTGTCTGTCTGTCTAGAATAATGGTGGGGGGGGTGCCTCTGCTCAGCTATCAGGATGCTCCGTCTTCATTGCGTCTGGAAGCATGATAGTCACTAGTCTGGGGGCTTCCGATGTCTTCGCTGTCGCCACCACTGCCGGCCCCCCGACCTCTGCGTTGGCCTCCGGCGCCTTAACGAGGCTACTGACGACACGGGCAGGGGACTGCCCACCCACCGGCATGGCCAGCCTCACCACCTGCGTCCCCGGGGCCACAGACACCGGAGCCAGGGCTCTGACTGTCAGCGGCGCCCCCACTAGGTTGATGCCGTGAGACCCAGTCGGGCCGGTTTTGGCCTGCAGGTGGCAGTGGGCCAGCTGTGCGGCAGGAATCGTGATTATCTTTGCCAGCTGCACGGTGACCTTGTCCCCATTGTCCGCCGTGGCAGGTACCATCGCGGGTATCGTCTGGATGACCACCTTGGGGGCCGCGGGGCCACTGGTGGAGCTGGTACTGGTGAGGAGGGGCGGGCTGCAGGAATGGACCGCCACCGTGGAGATCTTCTGCCCTAGTGACGTCGTCATGACTACGGGCACCTGCATGGCGACCCGCACTGTCCTGTGAGCACAGAACGAGTCAAAAAACAGATATGCACAGAGATGTAACATTTCTCCTAAGTCAATCAAACATTACTGGGATCACCCTTGACAGCTTCTCTACAAATGGTCTCTAACAGTAATCAAACATGAATTGGATCTTTTTTAGGTAAGCGGCATTAATTCTGACGAAGCAATGGACGGGATTAGAGCCTTACAATTTTCTAAAACCCAAAATCGAGACAATAGCCAACAGCAGCGGTATCTGACCTGGGCACAGGAGCCGTGTGGGGTGGCACTTGTGCCCGGGCGCCGTCGGACACTGCCGTGACGGTCACCATGTGGGCCCCGGCCGCCACCGACAGCACGTCCTTGCCCTTGGCGGGGTTCGAGTGCAGGACACCACGGCCGCTGCCTCGGAGGATTCCCGCCGTCTTCGCCAGCTCGGGTGAGGACAGCAGAGTGTGGGAGGAGGGGGGCACGCGCTCGTATGACCTCTCAGCACTCAGGAGGTCCTCGTCGATGGGCTCCGACTTCTCCTCATCGATTACCACAATGTTTTTTGGCATCTCTTTGAACTGGTAGACGAGACGCTGACCCTCTACCTTTGCGAGGATACCCCTTTGGTAGTAATACCTGAAACAACAACATTAGATTTAGTTTCGTTTTTAGGATCACCATGTCATTGCCATTACCCTTGACAAATTATTTAACATCACTTTTATTCTCAATCTGCCCAAGGGTATAACTGCGGCAAAGCAGAGTCATCCTAGCCCCGTGCGATATGACGATAAAAACATCTATCGTTTCATTTTAGGCTTATTATCGTTTATTTCGTGGTGTTGCGAAATACTGTGTTTACGGCAACATTTTTTCATCGTTTTGATGATTGTTTGCAAGGCTACACGCCACCACATGGGATGTGCGGCTTCTATGGAAGTTTTTAATCTGACTTATTATTATTCGTAACCCGCAGAAGACGATCCATAAATATGTACCGTGATCCACAAATATTTAACTGTCCACAAATGTGTATTTTTTTTCCATTTGTGTTTGTGTAAATTTGTAGACGTGAACTGTGTTTTGCACATTTGTGGATCACTTCTTGTCTATTAGTGGGTCGCGTTAACATTTGTGACTTCCCTCTTATTGATTTGTGGATTTTTGTGCAGGTCATACTGTTACCTTTCAAGTTACATGCTGTACACGGTCCCGCCTAGCTTACTGCTTAAAGCACACTTTACAGAACATGTCTGTTTTATTTAGGGTTATTTCATTTAGGTTCCTCCCACCCTGACCTCTTAGGAGCTCCGTATAACGCAGTTGGAAAGAAAAAAAATTTAAAATGACAAATATATCACAATCCACAAATATGTATTTTTATCTGTTGTACAAAATCATATCCACAAAAATTTGTAGACGTGAAAAAGGTTATGCGTATTTATAGATCACTTCCTGTCTTTGTGGATCACGTTACATTTGCACTTTTTTTATTTGCGGATTTTTGTCCAATTCCTACCGCAGCTGAGCTGTAGAAAATAATCCATAAATACGAGGTCTAGCCATGATATATAGCGTCATCAGGATATGAGATTTTGGTCATATCACACAGCTCCAAGTCATCCTATATAGTTAATTTACGTTCAAGTCCAGGGGGGGCGCAGTGGTTAGCGCTGCTGCCGAACAGCAAGAAGGTCCTGGGTTCGGTCCCGAGTCCTTTCTGTGTGGAGTTCGTGTGGGTTTTTGCCAGGGGCTACGGTTTCCAAAAGCGTGCAGGACAGGTTGATTGGTGAGTCTAAATTGGCCCTGTAATTTTGTGTGTGTGTGGTGTGCGGTGTGCGTGTGTGTGTGGTGTGC